ACTCTCAAGGATAGACCATATGTTACGCCACAAAACAAGTCTTAAAAAATTCCAAAACACTGAAATCATATCAAGTATTTTATCTGAACACAATGTAATAAAACTAAAAATCAGTAACAAGAGGAACATTGGAAACTATATAAATACATGGAAATTAACACAATATGCTCTTGAATGGCCAGTTGGTCAATGGAGAGATTGAGAAGGAAATTTAAAGATTTCTCGAAACAAATTAAAACAAAACACAACATATCAAAACATATAAGGCACAAGAAGTAATTAGAGGAAAGTTTATAGCAATAAATGCCTACATCAAAAAAGTAGAAAAGCTTCAAATAAACAACCTATTGATGTATCTCAAAGAACTAGAAAAACAAACCTACCCCAAAGTAGAAAAAGAATAAAGATCAGAATGGAAATAAATGAAATAGAAACAAAAATAAATATAAAAGATCAATGAAAGTAAAAGATAAACAAAATTGATGCCTCTTTAGCCAGACTAAGAAAAAAAAAGAGAGAAGACTCAAATAAAATCAGAGATGAAAAAGGACATATTACAACTGATACTGCAGAAATTCTAGGATCATTAAAGACTACTATATGAGCAATTAAGTGGCAATAAATTAGAAAACCTAGAAGAAATGGATAAATTCCTATATACATACAACCTACCAAGATTGAACCAAGAAAAAAAATATAAAACCTCAATAAATCAATAATTAGTAATGAGATAGAAGTGGTAACTAAAAGTTTCCCATCAAAGAAAAGCCCAGGACCTGATGGCTTCACCACTGAATTCTACCAAGCAGTCAAAGAAAAACTAATAGCAATCCTACTTAAACTATCCCCCAAAAAATGGAGGTGGAGGGATACTCCCAAACTCATTCTATGTGGTCTGTATCACCCTGATACCAAAGCCAGACAGAGACACAATAAAAAAAGAAAACTATAGGCCAATTATCTCTGATCAACATAGATGCAAAAATCCTCCACAAAATACTAGCAAAATGAATACAGCACATTAAAAATATTATTCATCATCATCAATTGGGATTTATCTAGGGATGCAAGGATGATTCAACATATGCAAATCAATCAGTGTGATACATCATATCATCAAAACAAAGGACAAATACCATATAGGATCATTTCAATTGATGCTGAAAAAGCATTTGATAAAATTCAACATCCTTTCATGATAAAAACTTCCAAAAAAACTGGGAATAGAAGGAAGTTACCTCAACACAATAAAAGCCTTATATGACAGACTCACAACTAGCATCATGTTGAATGGAGAAAAATTGAAAGCCTTTCCTCTAAGATCTGGAACAAGATAAGAATGCCCATTTTTACCACTGTTATTCAAAAGAGTACTGGAAGTTCTAGCTAAAGCAATCAGACAAGAGAAAGAAATAAAGGGAATTCAAATTGAAAAGGAAGAAGTCAAATTATACTTGTTTGTAGACAATATGATCTTATATCTAGAGAAATCTAAATAAAGAGTCCTAAAAAAAAAAAAAACAACATTAGCACTGATAAATTCAGTAAAGTTGCAGGATACAAAGTCAACATAAAAAAACATCAGTAGCATTTCTACATGCCAACAATAAACAACCTGAAAAAGAAACCAAGAAAGAAATCCCACTTATAAATAAAATAAAATAAAATAAAATACCTAGAAATAAACTTAACCAAAGAAGTGAAAGATCTCTATAATGAAAACTATAAAACACTGATGACGGGAATTGAAGTAGACACAAAAAGGAAAGATATTCTCATGTTCATGGATTGCAAGAATCAATATTGTTAAAAATGTCCATACCACCGAAAGCAATCTACATATTGATTTTGCACTCCCCATCAAAATACCAATTACATTCTTCATAGAAATAGAAAAAAAATCCTAAAATTTATATGGAAACACAAAAAAACCAAACTAACCAAAGCCACTCCGAGTAAAAAGAGCAAAAGTGAAGGAATCACATGACCTGACTTCAAATTATACTACAGAACAGTAGTAACCAAATCAGTATGGTAGTGGTATAAAAACAGACACATAGACCAATGGAACAGAATAGAGAACCCAGAAACAAATCCACACAGCTATAGTGAACTTATCTTCAACAAAGTTGCCAAGAACATCCAGTGGGGAAAGGACAGTCTCTTCAATAAGTGGTGCTGGCAAAACTGGATAACCATATGCAGAAGAATGAAACTAGACCCTTATCTCTTACCCTATACAAAAATAAGATCAAAATGGATTAAAGTCTTAAGTCTAATACCTCAAACTATGAAACTACTAAAAGAAAACTTTGGGGAAATGCTTCAGGACATTGGCCTGGGTAAGAACTTCTTGAGTTATATACCCAAAGCACAGGCAACCAAAGCAGAATTGGACAAATGAGATCATGTCAAACTAAAAAGATTTGCACAGGAAAGGAAACAATCAACAAAGTGAAAAGACAATCTACAGAATAGGAGAAAATATTTGCAAACCACCCATCTGACCAGGGATTAATAACTAAAATATATAATGAGCTCTAAAAAAAAATCAATCTGATTTAAAAATTGCCAAAGGATCTGAATATATATTTCTCAAAAGTAGACATACAAATAGTTGATAAGTATATGAAAAAATGCTCAATATCATTAGTCATCAGAGAAATGCAAATCAAAACTACAGTGAGACATCATCTGACCCTAGTTAAAATGGCTTTTGTGAAAAAGACAAGCAATAACAAATGCTGGGGAAGATGTGGAGAAAGCAGAACCCTCGTACATGATTGGCTGGAATGTAAATTAGTGCAATTACTATGAAGAACGGTATGGTGGTTCCTCAAAAAACTAAAAATAGAACTATCATATGGCCCTGCAATCCCACTGCTAGATATATCCAAAAGAAGAGAATTCACTATATGGAAAAGATACCTGCACTCCCATGTTTATTGCAGTGCTATTCACAAAAGCCAAGATTTGTAATCACCCTAAGTGTCCATCAATGTAAAAATTTAAAAATATTATGCAGCTGTATCAAAGTATATGGAATATATCTGTGGACTGACATGGAAAGATATCCAGGATATATTATTAAATGAAAATGCAGTTGCAGAACTGCAATATAGTATACTTTTTTTTGGTAAGAAAGAGGAGAAATACAAAAGTATACACTTGTTTGTGCTTAATTTGCATGATGAAACAATGAAAGGATGCACAAAAAAACTATTAAAAATTGTTAACTATGGAAGTGGTAGAAGCAAGATATGTCAACATATAGATTTTCATAGTTTTGATTTTTAAAGCTTATGAATATATTATCCACTGAAAAAAATTAAAATTTCAAAATAAATGAGAAAAAGAAAAGAACAATTAAGTCATGTGGTCCAAGAGATATAATGAAATATTATAAGGTTTCATAATAAGTGCCAAGAAATAAAAGATGGAAAAATAATAGCCATGGAAAAGCATAAACATGAACAGCAAAAGAGAACAGCTATACAAGATACAAAGCTGAAGTTTCACGTGGGTAGCATGTGTCAAATAGGAGGGTGGGCACAAAAATCACACCCAGTTGAGAATCACTGCTTCAGTTTATGTGAATAAAAAGATTTTCTGAGCAGCTCATTAAAAAATTTTCTAATGAATGTTTTCCTGGAAACTGATCTATATTCCAGAACTACTTTTTCATTGAGATGTCAAATATTTCATATAATACTTTTCCAGTTCCTTTTTTATTGTTATCATAACCCTGACCCAGCCAGTATGCTATTTTGCAACTTCTTTTGAGTGACATTAATAATTTATCAGAAATGTTTTCCTTCTTAGTAAGATGTTTAAATTGCTGAATCATTTGGTGTGATGATTTTATTACTTTGAAACTTTTTGTGTAGGAGCCAATCTCTATTTATTTAATAATATTACAGAAGTGGAATTAAGTACTTGAGCCCACATTTGTACTTTTCAGTGGTTTCTTATACTTAATTGAGTGGAAGAACACCTCTAATGTGTTTGAAGTAATCCTGTTACTGACTTCTTTTTTAACTTTCTTTGGAAGTCTGGAATCCTTCAAAAGCTTTCAAGAAGCCAGTCTCCCAGGGGTGGTCAGGCCAGTAATTAGTTGGTTAGCTCCGTCTCTGTCACAATGTCAATCTGACAATGACCTGAACCCTGAGGCCTCTGTTAGCCCAGCAGCTCACAATTCTGACAGCACAACCTGTGGTAGGTACATAGAAATAGAAACAGCTACTTCTCCCTCAGCTGTACCCAGGATCTTCTGAGAGTGATGCATGTGATCTTAATTATTTTTAAATAATTAAATACTATTGTTCCATTTCTGAGGAAAGTAAATCCAACCTGCAATTAGGAGACTGGTCCACAAATTACAGCATAACCACCTGCAATGAGCTTCACGTTAAATCTCCTTCCCCCGCCCTGTTCTTGTTCCAGAGGGTTTTGTTGTTGTTAATGTGATTAATTTCACTTCCAGGAGCAAGGAAGCGCGCATTTCCCAGGAGAATCACTGCGGGTCTACCCTGAATCTGAACTCAGGTAAAGGGTTTCCTTATTGGAAGAGAGATACAGTCCAAGCAGGAAAGCAAAGACTGTTTTATGGCTGCCACAGAAAAATTATTTTCTCAGTGAAACAACTGGACTCTAAAGACGGGATACGCTAAAATAAATCTTCAGCCTGAAACCGGATCTTCACCTTCCCCGCCCTCCTCCCCAGCGCCTCCCGACGTTTGCAACCGGGCTGCCGACTCCCTCGCGTGCGTGCGTGCAGACCAGGGCCCCGTGCGCCGCCAAGAACTCGCCCGGCGCGCCCGCTAAATAGCAAACAGATGCCCGACATGCCAAAGACCTCACCGGCTGGGGCACCGCCTGGGAAACCAGTTCCAGCCCCGAGGTTTCTGAGTGGAAACACTGGTCGCTGGACTGTTTTTTTTTTTTTTTTTTTCCCTCTCTTTGCTGGAAACGAACCGGTTCTGAAAGTAGGCATCCCCTTTCCCCCGGCGCGGGTGCGGAGAACAGACCCAGATGCGGGGCTGCAAAGCCCGACCCCAGCAGCTGCAACGCCTGCTACGTGCAGGCTGCCCGCTGGGCTCCTTCCTGGGGTGAAGCGGTCTTCCCAGCCTCGTCACTGGGGAGACCGCGGGCAGACGCCACAATCCCCTAGCGCTTTGTCGCCCCTTCCTCCAGCCCGGCTCCCTAAACTCGGGAGAGGCGGGTGCTCCCGACCTTGCTTCCATCCTGCCAGGGGCCGCGTGCATCCCGGGGCGAATTCAGGAGGCGAATTTAGGGCCACAGATTTGGCTCCAGAAGTCTGTTCTGACCGTACGGCCGCCCCTCGCAGGGTCGCTCTGCAGCGCGTCCCCGAATGTCGCGGTCCTCAAGCCCTCACCGCACTCCCTAGCACGCGAGGCCCCGGGCGGCTGTCGAGCAGGTGTGTCGCCGGTAGCTCAGCGCTGCGGTCCAGGAGATGACGGTGCTCGGTACCTGTCCCTACACTGGCAACCGTGCCGGGGCACACCACGGCAAATCCCAGTAATTCAAATGTCCCCGTCGGGCCCACGGCCCTTCCCGCGCCGCCCCCAGAGGCCACTTCTGCGCGGTCTTTCGCGTCGAACCCCAAGGGGCGCGCGCCCGGCGCCGGGTCCGCCTCCTCCCCGGCTCTAGCGGGGGCGGGCGTGGGTGGGCAGGGACCTGGATCTGATTAGCTGGGAGGGGGGAGCCATGGTCCCAACCGCTCTCTCCTGCCTCCCCGTCCTCCCAGGCTCCTCGAGGAGGAGGAGGAGGGACAGTACAGGAGAAGAGGGGCGAGGGTCCCATCACCCAGGGATCAGAGCCCTGCCTCTGTCTCCGAGCTTCCGCCTCGCCCCGCCCCACCGTCAGCCCCTCCATGAGACCCACTTCCAGCTCGGGCTTCTACGTGAGCCGCGCGGTGGCCCTGCTGCTGGCCGGGCTGGCAGCCACCCTCCTGGTGGCGCTGGCCGTGCTCGCCGCCCTGTACGGCCACTGCGCGGGCGTCCCGCCGTCGAAGCTACGTGGCCTCCGGGTCGCGGACGCCGCGACCCCCACTCCCAGCAGTCAGGAGGAGCCGCCGGCGACCCCGAAACCCGGCTCCGCACGCGAGCCGTCGGCGACGACCTCCGCGGGCGACTGGCGACCCCCGGGGCCCTGGGACCAACTGCGCCTGCCGTCCTGGCTGGTGCCGCTGCACTACGAGCTGGAGCTATGGCCCCGGCTGAGGCCCGACGAGCTGCCCGGGTCGTCGTTGCACTTCACTGGCCGCGTGAACATCACGGTGCGCTGCGCCGAGGCCACCGCGCGGTTGCTGCTGCACAGCCTTTTCCTGGACTGCGAGCGCGCCGAGGTGCGGGGTCCCCTGTCTCCAGGCGCCGGGGACGCCGCCGTGGGCAGCGTGCCCGTGGACGACGTGTGGTTCGCGCTGGACATGCAGTACATGGTGCTGGAGCTTGGCGAGGCCCTGCAGCCTGGTAGCCGCTACGAGCTTCAGCTCAGCTTCTCGGGCCTGGCGTTTCGGGACACTAGGGAGGGGCTCTTCCTCAACGTCTACACCGACCAGGGCGAGCGCAGGTAAGGGCTGGCCGGCCCCGGGTCGCCTCCGTCCCCGCCCCCGCGTCCCGGCGCGGGCTGCGCGTGCAGCTGCCGACCTGTCCAGGTGTGCGTCTCCCGCCCTCCGCAAAGGGCCCCCAGCCCACCCCGCCCCTGACGCTTTCTTCCGAGCCGGGGGCAGGCGCCTCCCAACCCTGTCGTCCTGAGACCCTGCTCAGAGTAAGGGCTTCCAGACCACGACCCTTCCTCTGGCCAGTGTTCGGTCCTCTCCCTGCCCGTCCAGTTTGTTTTTATCGCTGCTCATCTTGAGGTTGCTTCTACCCCAGAAGTTTATTGTTTTCTTCAGAAAGCCCCTTTCTTCTCTAGCCGGGAATTGTTCACCCCTTTGAACAAATCCCTGGCCACTCAGAGGTGGGTCCTTGGACTGGCGGCAGCTGTAATGCCTGGGAGCTTGTTCGAAACTCAGACTCTCTATAGACTCCGCTCCAAGGCGACCAGAGGCTGCGTTTTAACAAGATTTTAAGGTGATTCGCAGGGGTTAAGGTTGGAGAAGCGCCAGGCCAGGGGACCCTTTTGGCTTCTGCTCTTTGCCCCTCCGTGCGCGTCCCTGCCCTCAGCTCTCGCTCTTTCCAGGCACCCGGTAACTGTGGCTCTTACAACAAATGTACCCGCCTTGGGGCTGTTTGTTCCCATACCTTTTGATTTTTACTAAGGTTCTCCAAAACTTTGGAATCGCCTTTAATTCATGTCCTCCTTCCCCCACCCCACCCCACCCCACTCCCCCGCCTGGGTACCGCACCTAGTTTTGCTGGCGACAGCGAGTCCCCTGCCCACTCTGGGCTCTTCGTCAAGCTCTGCAGAGCCCAGCACTTTTGAGATTGTTCTGATGGAAAAAAATAATAATAAAAGCGATGATAGGAGACCTCCCCTTTGAGTTTGAAAGCCCGTGTAATGTCCATATGCTCTTTTTACACTCATTTGAGATGATGTCTCCCACACGGAATATTTTCTATCCCTGCACAAGAATTGCCTCTTTCCACCCTTTGCGACCACTCTGCCGTCCTCTGGCGAACGCAGGGGAAATGTCTTCAGTGGAACAACAACAACAAAAAAAATAACAAAAAGTTATTTTTTTTCAAACCAGCAATCTCTTTCTTCATTCGCACACTGGTGGCGCTTTTGCGGTTTACACAACTGCATGTACTTTGCCCTTTCTTATTAGAGAAAATGTTCTCAGATGTTCTCTGCTGGAAAGAAACCCACTAAATTACCCTCTAAACCATCTCCTGCACTAGTTTGAAATTTTTAAGGGTTATAAAATAAGTTGAATGAGCTACCTTAGTGGATATGTAATATATAACTTCTGTTTCTAGGGGCTGTGTGCTTGGTTTCCTCTTTCAAAAATGCTTGAAAAATAGTTTTGAAACTTTCTCATTCAGATGACATGTTATCCAACTCAGGTGCCCCTGGAGCCTTTTGAAATTACTGTGTGTAGTCCAGGGTGCAAGGAAACTCTTTGCATACTTATCTGACAGTGTTTTTTTCTGTCAGTAAATCTTCATTTGTTCACTCATCTTTCCCTTCTTCCTGTCTTAGTGGGGCTATGGCCTGCCCAGGCAAACTAGCAAACACAGGAAAGGAAAACACCTTTCCATTTTTTTCTGTTGTGCCACCAGTCTAGCATTAACTGCAAACCATATTTTCGGAAGAAATCTTAATGAAGTCCTTGGTAGAGAACCTAATAAAGTCCAAGGTAGAGCTCCAGAACTGTGAAGTTTTGGGAGAGTTGTTACCAGGAAGTTGTCCCTCTGGGTCTCTGTTCTGAAACTACAAGGAAAAGACACCTGTGGTTAAACTTCAAGCTGAGGTCACAAAGAACCTGGACAGAGTGATGGCTTGTGATATGGCTGATTCAGGGAACCCAGCAGGCCTGAGTTGGCACTGGAGCTGTGTGAATTGAATGAATAGTTTAACCTCTCTGAATCTGTTGCCTCATTCATGGAATGGACATAATAACTGCCAACTTTTAAAGTATTGTGAAAATGAGATGAGAAAGGGGGTGCACAGTGACTGTCACACAGCCTGAGCAGTGGTGGCAGCTGTGGTTAGGTCAGATTATCATTGTTAGGAGCAGCCTCCTTGTTATCTAAACATGGAACCTGCCAAGTTCCTGGTGGAGATGAGTCTAAGAAGAGGATTCCCAGGTGTGGGGAGAAGCCAGGGGCTGGAAGAGTGGGGAGTTTTTGTTTCATGGGTGTATATTTTAGTTTTGCAAGAAGAAAAGCATTCTGGAGGTTGGTTGACAACAATGTGAGTACCTAACACTACTGAAATATACACTTAAAAATGGATAAAGTGGCAAATTTTATGTTATGTGTATTTTACCACAGTTAAAAATTTTAAAAAAGCAAAAATAATTCTAGACCAGTGAATGTAGAAAGGGGTTCAGAAACTTACATGTTTTAACAATTGTGCCAGGTAATTCTGATGCCCACAATCAGTATTTTCTAATTTTTTATTTTGAAATAATTATGGATTCATCCATAGTTGCAAAAATAGTGTATAGAAAGGTCCTGGGTACCTTCGCCCGGTTTCCTCAAATGGTTATATCTTATGTAATTACGGTACAATATCAAAAGCGGGAATTTGACATTATTACTATGTGTGTATATGGGTTTTTTTTTAATGTTTTATCACATGGGTAGATTTGTGTAACCACTACCAAAATCAAGGTACACAGCTGTTCCATCACCTCAGAGATGACCCTCATACTTCTGCTTTATACCCCCTCCCAGCGCTCCCCCACCGTCCCCGGATCCTTGGCAACCACTAATCTGTCCTCAATCTCTATAATTTTGTCATTTGGAGAATTTTATATAAGTGGAGTTATACTGTATGTGACCTTCAGATGTCAGCTTTTCTCACTTGGCATAACACCCTTGGGATCCATCCAAGTTGTGTGGATCGACAGTTTGATTCTTTTTATTGCTGAGTGCTATTCCACGGTGCGGATGTACTACAGTTAGTTTAGTCGTTCACTCTTGAGGGATGTTGTGGTTGTTTCCAGTTTTTGCCTATTACGAATAAAGCTTCAGTGAGTAATTGTGTACAGGTTTTTGTGAGAACATAGTTTTTATTTCTGTGGGATAAATGCCCACAGGTGAAATTGCTGGGTTATGTGGTAATTGTATATTTAGTTTTTTAAGAAACTGCCAAACTATTTCCCAAAGTGACTGTACTATTTTATACTCCTACCAGCAATGTAGGAGTGATAGAGTTTCTCTGCATCCTGGCCACTATTTGCTATTGTCACTATTTTTTATTTTAGCTGTCCTGATAGGTGTGTAGTAATAAAAGTTTTTAATTTTGATGAAGTCCAATTTATCCACTTTAAAAATGGATCCATGCTTTTGGTGTTATGTCTCAGAGCTCTTCACCAAGCCCTAAGTTCTGCAGATTTTCTGTGTTATCTTCTGAAAGCTTTATATTTTTATGTTTTACATGTAAATATATGTAAATGATCCACTGTAAGTTAATTTTTATATAAGATGTGATGTTTGGGTCAAGGTTCTTTTTTTTTTGCTTATGACTATCTAATTGTTATAGCACCATTTGTTGAAAAGACAATTCTCTCTCCATTGAATCGCTTTTGTACCTTTGTCAAAAATCAATTGTCCATACTTCTGTGGGGCTGTTACTGGGTTCTCTATTCTGTTCCATCAATCTGTGTGTCTGTTCTTCTGCCAATACTACATAGTTTTGATTACTGTACTATACAATGTCTTGCAGTTATCTTCTTTTTAAGCACTATTTTAACTATTTTAGTTCCTTTGCCTTTCTATATGTATTTTACAATATTTTTGTCTATATGTACCAAAAATCTTGTTGGGATTTTGATAGCAATTTTGATAAACCTTTATATCAATTTAGGGAGAATGACACCTTTACTATGCTAAGTCTTCCAATCTATGAACCTGGAATGCCCATTTATTTAGATCTTTGATTTATTTCATTAAGATTTTATCATTTTTAATATACGAGTACTATATACTGTTTAATAGATTTACACTTGTTTAATTTTATTTGAGCAATTGTAAGTGGTATTGTATTTTTAATTTTGGTTTTCACATGTCTGTTGCTACTATATAGAAATACTGAGTTTTGTATGTTGATCTTGTATCCTGTGCCCTTGCTGAACTCACTAGATCTAGAGGTTTTGGTTTTTGTTTTTTGTTTTTGTAGACTCTTTGGAATTGTCTGCACAGATCATCATGTCATCTACAAATAGAGACAGTTTTATTTTTTCCATTTATTTTCTTTTCCTGTCTTACTGTGCAGGCTAAAATTTTCCAACACTATGTTAAACACGAGCAATGAGAATGAACATTCTTGCTTTTTTTCTCTTGATTTTAGAGGGAAAGTTTTTAGCCTTTTATCATTAAGTATGACATTAGCTGCAGGTTTTGTATATGTTCTTCATCAAGTTGAGGAAGCTGTGCTCTGTTCATATTTTCATATGAGTTTTTTTTTATATGAAATGAGTGTTGAATTTTGTCAAATAATTTTCTGCATCAATTGATAGGATCATGTGATTTTTCTTCTTTAGCCTGCTAATATGGTGTGTTACATTGATTTAGGTTAGTATATTGAGCTGGTCTTACTGTCCCCACCCTTTTTGATAAAAGCAATTGCCATATAGTAAGGGAGAGTGGCCAGCCATTTCGATGTAAGGGGGAAGGCAGAGAAGAGAGAGAAAAGTACAGTGGAAAGAGCAAGTGTCTTTACTTTCTACCCTCCTCCTTCTGACAGGGTATGACCACCAAACAAATTTTCCTATAAAGTAATTTATTAGGGAGTGTCTCCAGGAACAGTCCAAGTGGATAATGGGGAATTGTGACTGGCAAAGAAAGGAGGCCAAGCTGGGATATAACAAAGTCCCCTGAAAGAAATTCTGGAGAGTGTGAGCTGCACCTAAGAATTGTCCCTATTAAGAGCAAGGGAGCAGACACATTTGTACCCTC